AAAATATAAAATAATTTTGCAGATTTTTCTCTCTATTTCTCTTTTGTTTCTCACTTCTTTCTCTTTTCTCTCTTTCTCATATCAAATAGTCATATCAAAGACTTCTAACAAATATTTTTCATTAGTAATAAAAGAAACATAGCTCTATTTTCATTAATCCATAATGATATTTTGAAACTAATTCGCGCATTTAATCAATATGGGACTCGATGATTCGTGTCATTTATTGACGATTGTATTAGAATTACTTAACTACTTTGCCTCATTCAAATTTGAAATTACCTATATTATACCCCCCAGTTCGCCAACATGATACAACCCAATCTGGAATTGACACTAAGAGATTCCACATGAGTAAAACCAAAGATTTTTTTTAGTCACATACTTTAATCATTCTTTCATTAGGAATCAATTCTTCATAAATTATCCTACGTTCATACTCCAAAACAAAATTGAGTAGCAAAACACAAGGATAGTCACCTTTTAGCTACCATCATAGCTTTCCTATTCCAAAGCAACATTCTAAACAATATTGAGGTAAAATCATCTTTAAACCACCTATATTATTAACCGTCTGCCAATCAACATTCTTGATTTCAAAAGTCCCTTAGAAATGCTTCAAAATTTTTTTCCAACTATAATTATTACAAAACCATATTATCTCTCGGATATTTGGGTGCATTGTCTTACATTCATATTCATCCCCCATCAAATAGGAAAACTTAATTCCCATACCTTAAAATGTGTATTTTTATAGTACTCCTCTCAAAATGAGTATAAATATTACCACCTATCCATTCAAAAGTTTCAAGTGTCCGTAATATTATATTTGTTGAACAAGAATTCTATTTCACCCAGTCTTATCTTCATAAGGAGCTCATATTGAAAGATAATGATATAGAATTCTTAACAAACTTTACCCTACCACCTTTGCTATACATCCTAACACCATCATCACAAAAGAACATTCAGAACTCATCATAACATTCACCTATTCAAGAGATCATATCAAACTCTAGATTTCCTCATATATATATAAGAAAAAAGATGTATTTAGCCTAAATCAATTCAAGAATCCAACCTTGATCTTAGAACTGAAGACATATAAGACAATCGATAGATATAAAGTGAGATTGGTGATAAAGAGCTATACACAGACATATGGGATAGACTATTATGAGACATTTGCACCAGTAGCCAAGATGAAAACTGTACAAATCTTTGTTATTATTAGTTATTGACTTTGATTGACAACTATAATAATTTGATATAAAAATATCTTTCTATATGGAGATCTTGAATAAGAAATCTACATAGATTCCACCAAGCTTTGATAGACAAGTAAACTTAAATAAGGTATGTAAAGTAAAAAAGCCTCTCTATGTACTTCAATAATATACAAGAGCATGGTTTAATAGGTTCACAAGGATAATGAGAGACCTAGAATTTAACTAAGCTCAAGAAGACTATGTTCATCAAACATTCAAAAATAGGGGGAGTTACAGGCCGATGATATCATCGTGACAAAGATTATGAAAAAACAAAACTGACAATAAAATAGTATATGACAGAAGAATTTGAGATTGTGTAACTTGATAAGTTGAAAAAGAAAAACTTATATGTTGATGACATTGCCACAACAGGAGATGATGAAAAAGAAAACTAGTACTAAAATAGTATTTGATAAAAGAATTTGAGATCAAGTAACTTGATAAGTTGAAGTATTTTTTGGGAATTGAAATCGCTTGCTTAAAATTTGAAATTTTTATTTTTCAACAAAAATACATTCATGCTCTATTGAAAGACTATGGTAAGTTAGCATGCAAACCAGCTAACAATCCTATTGATCTTAATCACAAGTTAGAAATAACAAAAGAAGATACGCTAGTAAAAAAAAATATATTAGAAATTAGTTAGAAGATTGATATATTTATCTCACACGAGACCAAACATTGCCTATACAATGAATGTTATAAATCAATTTATGTACAATTCAAAAGAAGTGCACCTACGAGCAGCCTACGGAATAATATATAACCTAAAAAAATCACTTAGAAAAAGAACTATATTTAAGAAGAATGATAAACTGCTCTTAGAAATCTATACTAGTGCAGATTATGCAAGGTCAATTGTAAAAAAAAAGTCTACCACAAGATATTGTACATTCCTTGAGGCAACCTAATCATTAAAGAAGCAAGAAGCAAAATGTAATTGTTAGATCAAATGCAAAATCAAAATTCCAAACTATGGCATAATGAGTATGTAAACTACTACAGCTAATAAGAATTTTGAAAGATCTTGAAGTCAAGTGAAAAAATCTCATGCGTCTATAATGCAACAACAAGTTATAAGCATAGCATACAATTCGATGCAACATGACCATACCAAACATATCG